AGGCGGCGGAGGTTTATGAGACGTGTTTGGCTCTGGATTTGGTGGGCATTGTGCAGGCTTGTTGCCTTTTGGGCCTGAGCCGTGAAAGGAACTTGGCTCTGCTTAATGTGAGCCTTAGCGTCCCCGAACCGGACGGCTTCTGCAGTGTAAAAGGGGATGCACGTGTGTCTTTATCGGAGACCGTTCACGGGTCTCTGTTGTGAGTGGATTTGCTCTAAGTGTGGGGCTGTGTAACGTGGGTGATGTGTTTTTTAGCTCAGAGGACCCACTATCTAAGGAAGGTATAAAACAACAGCGAGGGTAAGCAGAAAAAATATATAACTTTCCAAATGTACCCTGTCAAAACAGTTAAAAGAAATAACAATGATAGATGGCCAAAGTGGAAATGGTATCTTTCCCTTCCGCCTTGCCGCCATAAATTGCACGCCCTCCCTGGGGGCTGCATCCTGGCAAGACGTTGGAAGGAGGAGCAGGCTAGTTTCCCCATGCCCGTCGGGCCGTGTAGTATTTTTGTTTGCATATGATCACGATTCAGCCTCGCACATTCGCACTGCCCTGCACAGGCCTTTCATTGCCAAGGCATCAGCTTGAAGTCATGACTTAGCTGAGCAATGACAACGTTCTTTTAACATAAGTAATCGGTTATAATAAGTGTTAGGGAATTATTTCGGCAGGCAGAAATGAAAATCTATTTCTCACCCATAACGAGAGCGTCATCATCCCTTTGCTACGGCGCAGACGCTAACAGCGCGGGGAGATGGAGCGCTCGCTGCTGTGGCTCCATTTGCTTGTGCCTTATTTACAATTTAGCAGCTCCCCGGACGTCTTTTGCTAGTTGGGCTAAGCAAGGACTTCCATGTTAGAAGTATGTTTGAGCAATGTTGTGCCATTAAGGGTGATATTAGGGGGGGGAAAAAAAAAAAAACGATTTTGAGGTTTTTCAGAAAAATCATCTTTTGCTTGTGTTGCAAGGGGAAAAGATTTATGAGGTTGTTGTATTTATATATGTTGTGTGGCTTGTTTATTTTTTTTGTAAAGTGTAATATTAAACAGAAGGCATAGAGATTAATGCTAACCCAGAGAAGGGGAAGCACGTTTAGATTTTTACATATCCAAATGCCCAGAAAGTTGCGCGATGTGCTTAAAATGCAACATAACCACAGAGCCTTTTGTGCCTGTAGAGGAGAGCTGCTTGAATATCAATGTAGGGAAGATGTGAAAAGGTGGGAATGAGAAGAGGTTCCCTGCCAAGGGAAGGCGTTAAGCGTGTCCTGAAGTAGA